AGGAACAACCCAACCTGATCTTGACAACCCCATCGATTCCTATGGGTTATCACACCAACCAATAAGACTGCGGAACTAAAGGCACTCTTTTTTGGATGAAAGGCTTGTCGGCAGCTGGGCCTACACTCTGTTACAATAGTCGGGGATTCCGGGTAAACGAAGAAAGACGGCAGGGAGAACATCCAAGTCTGTCAGCGGAACCCGGAGGATTCTAAGCATCCCCCTTAGGGCACGACGCATACCACTTTGCCAGAGCGGCTGCTGGTTTAGGGAGGAGATAGACAGCCTGGCGGGCTATCTCGGAAGCGTTGCCTGATCAAGGCATAAGTTCGAATGATGACTCATTGTATACGTGGGAGGCCCGGTTGAATCAAAACAAAAAGATATAGTTGGGTTGGGAGGGTCGAAAAAAGTGATTTGTGACCTTTCATCATCTTCACACCCTTTCTACTTTGCTTTTCATAAGAAGAAAGAAGAAAAAGAATGACAAAATAACAAAATCAGCTGTTTACAATTTTGGCACCAACACAACAAACAAGACTCAATAGAAGGAATCAAAATCAATGAAAGAGCGCGGAGCCCAGTTCAAGCTCTCTTCGTAGACTTAACAAGCTGAGCTCTATGGCTGGTTGTATTGTCAAGGCTAGCAGGTCGCTGAAATAAGCTGTAAAACCCACCAGGAAACTCTTGTTCAACCAACCAGCTGGAATAGATAGAAAAAGGGCTGAAAGAGGGGCTGGGCTTTTCTTCCTCCCCCTTCAATCTTCAAATGGTTGCTGCTCACGCACACATAGTAGCCTCATCAAGCTAATAGATTGGGCTGTAATGAGGCTGAAACAAGACAGATGATGAAAGCCTTGCCCCGCCCCTCTTCAATTTTTGTTAATCCAGTGAGCTAGCTGGCTGTTACCTCCTTCAATCCCAATCTTCAGTTTTCGTTGTGGGTCCAATCAAACTCAAAATGGATGCTGAAAGGGATTGCAGCCTGAAGCTGGTTCCATAGCTGCAAATGAGTCCTTTCTTCCTTTTTGGAGAAAACAGTTTCTTAACAAAGTTCAGTAAAGCCACGTTGTAGGCCGCACAAACGACATTTCTGGCCGAAGTTGCAGACCCACTTTTTGAAGTTCTAACGAGATTGTCAGAGAGTCAAACATGACATGGACGTCATACTACACAACACAAGCAGAGACGAGAGGGAGCTGACTATAGAACTGCACAGCAAACTACCGAAAACTGCGAGGAGGAAACGAAGCGTGGAAGGCGGGGATCACTAAGATGACTCGGTAATTGACGGGACAGAACAACATCACAGAGACATGGCCCCATAGTACTACATATCAAGGGAAGGCAGTACTTAACCCGCTACACTGAAGAAATAGGTTGCACGCAAGCACAAGCAAGTCGGAGTCTCACTGCATGCTCGTTGCTCCGACAAAGGAGTTCAATGAGAGGCACGCTACGAGTCGAGCAAACTGGCATGTTCAGCAAGCTTTCGCTGGCATGACAGGTATCGTCACACGAGCAAAATGACGAGGCAGGCCCATCAAGCTATCACTGGCATGACATGCTCATGACATGTGGATGAACTCTGTGTCGTTGCATGAGGCACGCAGCAAACTTTCGGAATAAGTCTGACACGTGCAAAAAAGCTTTCACCGGCATGACACGTGGTAACTCTGGCAGCTGCGGTTGCCTGAACAACAAGCTTGAACGCAGTTGACATGACACGCGGATGAACTCTAGCAAGCCTGTCACCACGGTTGCCTGACATGTGAAGGCACAGCTGGAATGACACGTGGACTTCATGCCGCTTCCCTGCCACGAGTAGAGCAGAGTCAAGCTACTATGGAACATGTCAGTCAAGTTCAGTCTACGTTGACTTCAACTCCACTCTTTTCTGACTTGGTTGCAAGCTCGTTGCAATGCTCCGAAGGCCGTGCATCAATCACTGTTGCTGAACTGGAGGCACATGACGTTTGCTGCTGAATCCACCATCCCGATGACTGCTCTCTCCTGTATCACTGCTGCTACACTGGCAAGACATGTCGCCCCATCTCGTTGTTTAGGGTTCTCCTCGGAACCTGGAGAAGACTCGTTGTAGTGCTCCGCTCTCCACTGTTCTCTCCGTTGTTGTTGAACTGGAGGCATGTCGTTGCTTCACTCACTTTTTGGTGACTCGAATACATGGAGCTCTATCTAAAGATAATACTAAAGCGGTAGAGCGAAAGTGATTGAAGTTGAAGTAGGGACACGTTCCGTAGGCCCAAGCCGGTCATGTGCACGGTGGGAAAAAAGTGGAGCATGCGGCGTACGCATAAGGTCTACAAAACCACCCATCTACAGAACTGGACTGAACACTGTAAGCGGGCCTTCTTCACATAAACGTTGAGTCCACGGTGTGTGCCTTCGTAACGTCACTGCGGTGCAGTTCGTGCTTATCTACTCTACTACATGCACTTGCTCGTTCAGTCTACGAAGCACCCTTCGCCGTTCCGTAAACTGAATGAGCAGTAGCGCATAGGCCCGGATAAAAAGTCCACTTGTCGTTTTGAAGTAGCAAGGTGTGTACCTGTGCTACACTGCTCCTTCTTTTTACTACACGAGCCAGACAAACGAATCAATCAACCTCAACCCGTAACTCTTTATGGATAGAATAAATCAGTGGTTCCCCCACTCCATCTGTGTAGATGTAGATAGAGCAATAGACTTCGGACTGAATGAGCTGCCCAAGTTCAGTCGACTTCACAGCTCCACTGCTCGTAGAGTAGAGTGGGCACATGCTCCCTAGACTGAAGACTGAACGAGCGTAAAGTTCAGTCGATTTCACTGCTTAACTTGTCTCCACTGCTCGTTCAGTCGAAGTAGAGCGGATAGACTGAAAAAGCTGCCTGTTCAGTCAAGTTCAGCCGACTGAACAGCTCTACTGGTCTCCACTACTCGTTCAGCATAGTATACAAAGGAGTCAAGCAACAGACAGAGCGAAGGGCGAGGCAGCTCTTTCCATCGACTAGTAGTTAAGGTCCATACCTAGTTCCGTCGACTCTGAGAGCTCGTTCGGTCGACTTCACACCACTCTATTCTACTCTACACCACCGTTCAGCTTCGACTTCATGAACGGAAAGCGCAAGCAGAACGGAACAACATAAAAGAAAACAGAGATAGATTTTGGCCATGTATCCTGACAGAAGTTCCGCCCCGACTTCTATCAATGCATATGGCTCGCAGCTTGAAGGTCCATTTGGGCTCTTGTGCGAGGCGAGGGGACAAGGTCACGCGTCCCCAAGCAAGCCTAGAAGGAGATGAAAGAAGGGCAATCAAGATTTTTGTTGTTAAATAACATAACTGACTCCCACAGTTAGAAGCACCGCCCTGCCAAGCAGATACACTCGCATTAAGCCCTGCGAGGCCCAGAAACTACAAGAAAGAACAGCCAAGCAACGAGGTGACGAGGGGGAAGCCAAGCTAACACACCCAGCGAGTGGAGTGCATAAGCACGAAGCGAGCCGTGAGCGGGAACGAAAGACCGAAAGGCCATGCAGAGCAGATCCCAGAAAAGCCAAGCTAGGAACAGCGATACCAAGGAACATGGGAGCAAAGCCAACCGAGAAAGGAAGGACAGACAGAATGAATGAATGGATAGGGACCTTTACAGGATGTGACCAGAAAGGAAAGGACATGAGAGGCCAGAGAATGGAAAGATAAAGGGAAGGAAGGGAAGGGGACAAGAACAACAACAGAACAAAATCACCAATCAAAGGACCGGGACACTGCGAAGCTAAGCAAAGTAAAGGCAATAGCGGAAAGGAACAGGAAGCCAAGGAAACGAGCTGAACATTAGAGGAACGCCCACAAGGCAAAGAGAGGCAAGGCGAGGACAAGGAAGGCCTTAAAGGCATCAAGACTGACCAAACAAAAAGACAAGAAAGGAAACTAGACAAGGCTGGGAAAGGATAGGAAAGGCCAAGGAAGCAGAGAAAAACTTGACATCACCTTCAACGGCGAAGCGAGGCGAGGACCTTAACTACTAAGAACAGCTGAGCGGGGAAGTGAAGAGAATGGGAAAAACTTCACTTTAATGCACCGACAATCAAATTACAAGCAACTAAAGGACACGCGAATCCGGAAAGGCAGGAAGAAATCTATCAATTTAATATTTTGTTTGACTTTTTTCTATATAGATAGAAGGACAGAAAGAAAGAGAGACAACAGAGAGTATACTGGTTTGGGCTGATGATGTATCAGAAAAGTTTTAGGTCATATGATCCATGACTAGGCTCTAAGTATATGAGAGTACTGTATCTTAGAGTATAGTCTAGGTGGGAGGTCCTGCCAGGTGGCCAGGAAAGGGTTATGTGGTCGGGATAGAAGTTCAGTAGAGGTTACCTAAGGGAGGATTTTATATGGGTGGAAGGGCTAGGTTTAGGGGGGACAGGGAGTCTTATCCTTATCTAGATTTGAGACAGCGGTGTACAGGGGGCCAGGGAGTTGCTCAAACCCTTCAGAGAAGAACGCATGTTACAAGCGCAGATGTGGTGAGGGTTGGGGACATGGTAGCTAACATGGCGAGGCGAGGCGCTGATAGTTGGGTGAAGGGTCAGGCGACGTGGATGAAAGCTGGCCCTTGCCATCCTGCATGAAGGTCTTCTCTGCTCCGAAGCTTTTAGTCAATCGAAGCGTAAGCTGTCGAGTGGCTTCGAAAGAAATGAAGGAGGTGGGCTTTGCAGGCCGACCTCTTCTCAGATTGAGGAGTGGAACATCGATAATGCTTTTCCCGTCACTCCGTGCCTTTTAGCTTGGCCCACAGCCGAGTATCACAACGAAGTGAGGGAGTGAATGAAGCGAGCTAAGTGTGAGGGGATGAAGAGAACGAAGCGACAACAGAGTGAACTCAGTCAATCCACTGAAGTTAGTGAGCACCTTTGATTCTTTGATCCACTTCATGGATCCTGGCAATCACTCCAGAAAGGCAAGGGTGTGTTGTGCACGTTGTAGTAGTAGCTTTATAGCAGACAGGTATCGTCCACAGAACGCCGTTCATTCACTCGCAAGACGATACCAGTCAGGCAGTAGCCAGTTCCGTAGACTGAACTTGATTGAGAGACCATAGTAGCTTGATAGAATACATCAGTCACGTGTCTGCTCCGAAGTAGCTCAAGCATAAGGCAGTCGACCACCGTTGACAGCGCCTTCACCCGCCTTCGGAACTTGCCAAACACGTGGAGTTGACTTCTACAGAACGTGTCAGACGAGTGGAGCCTTCGAAATGAGTCTAAACTACCACAAAGGGTTTAGTTTATCAAACTAGCAGATAAGAGCTTGATCCTGCGGATTCTGAATCTCTAAGAGTACTCCCAGCTACCACCACTTCTTCCCTAGTGTCTCCCATTTCGGAATTCATTTCGTCTATTCCGGTGCGATAGACTGCTATTACTTAAAATATAATAGGTCAAACCTCGGTCCCCACTTTGATCGGGACCCTAAGTACCTCCTTGAACGGCCTCCTACCAAGGAAGGGTGGGCGCCTTCGCAAAAAACAATTGAAGGCATCCTCAACAGAATAACCAGAAAAAAGGGTTATGGTTACTGGCCACCTTCCCCATCTTGTTCTTCCCCTAACAAGACTAGTTGACCCCTCGCGCTATTGTTGTTTCCTTCACTGCTCCTAAACCACTGAAGAATAAATGTAAGAAGCCCTAAGCGAGTGAAGTGTGTAAGCACGGAGCGAGCCAAAGAGCTCGTGAGGTCTACAAAAGGGTTCAGGCGATGCTTCGACTGAACGAGCAATGGAGACAAGTTTAGCTGTTCAATCCAGTTCAGTCTACGGAACTGGATTGAACAGCGAGAACTCGTCTCATAAAGTCAATGCCAATTTTGAATCCAAATCAAATAAGGAATGCGCTCGACTCCAATCAGGCAGAGGGGAACGTGGGAAGGCTATTGCCTTCCCCTACCATAAATAGAAAAATGTCCGAGATAAGAAGGTGGGGTTGAACTCATACGGCGCCCTCCCTTTTCCAGTGAGTCGACTCCATAGAGAGATGGATAGATAGCCATACCTTTGAAGTGCAGCCTCTCAATCCTGATCATTTCCTCGCCCGTTTGTTTCCCCAACTCTCGTTCTCGAGGGGATCGAGCTCGAAGAATGGGCGGGCTATTCATTGGAACATGGATGGTGGGACTCTTTATGTAATGTAAGAATTTTCCATTCATTCGGATTTCGACATCGCCCATTCTTTCCTCTGACTCTCCTGAGAAAGAAGTGGTGAGGGCAGGGGTATGTGGCAAAGAGGAGTAGGGAGGGTATAGGCGGACAATGCATCTGATTAGCTTTCATACTTTGATTCGACATGAGATACGATCAATTCTTCATTCCGTAAGAGTCTCAATCCCCGCTTACTTATAAGAAGCCAATGGGTGAGATTTAGGGGTTGAGACAGACTCCTTTTCCCGTTCGCTTGCCTCGTGAAAAGGTTCTCACCAATCCAACCGGACTTCCTTGCTTCTCAGTGAAGCCCCATTGATCGATTCCTCGAGACGGGAAGCAGTCGGCATAAATGCATTGGCTTTCCTTCCAACCCATTGATTCATACCTCGGGACGGGATTCACCGACCATCCACCCAGCTCAGAAAAGATGGAAGTGGGGATCCTTCAATATCTGCTATTGAGGACTCTATTCTTGGCATGAAAGCCTAAAATCTTTCCTTCTCGCCCCCGATCTAATTCTCAGTTGTGGCGGGGAGGCAGTCACCATCTGGCCATTCAATACCGACCAGCGGACATTAGTTGCATAAAAGATTTTTCCTCCTCCTCCCATCAATTTAAGACCCGGCTTCTTTGGACTTCAAACTAGCCTTAAGTTGAATCCCTACTCGCCCATTAAAGATTCAAGGATAGTTTAAAGCAGCTTCTTTGGGCTGGCATAGAAGAAAGTCTTTAGACTCTTTTTTTTAAGAAGATAGACAGGGTCGAGGTAGGGCCTATCATCCCGTCCTTCCAACATCGTTTCCGGAAGAGAGGAGTGGCGGCATTGGAGGAGGAATGGAAAGATCTGTCAGGCCAACCATGCCCGAAAAAACTGAACCATAAGCCATGAATCAAATAAGCCACGAATCAAAGAAGGCATTCTTGACCGACTGACTCACCGATAAAGTCAATTTTTATTGTCCCTCTTTCCCTCTCTTTAATAAGTCAAATCGAGTTGTTGCCCTCTTCAACATCCAAATCCCTAAATTCTAGCCCTCTCGAGGCAAAAACCCTAAAACACCTATCTCCCTCCATGATGATCCAGGGCTCTCTCTCTAACCATGAGGCTCTCTCGTACTACACTCTCTCTTGCTGCTTCCACCTATTTCTCTCTCATTGATGCAAAGGGCAAGATGCAAGTCGTTGATTTCTACGAACTACTATGAATATTAGTGGATGAATCTGCAAAATACCTCAAAATGGATCAATCAACTTGTGAAGATTGAAGAACCATCGAAAACGTACCAATAAAAATTGGTTCAAACCTTATTACCATCTCAATATCAATTCAAGCTAAAGCCTGATATCCAAATACTTGCATATGTAGGAGATTTTGCGAATCATGGTGGCACTAAAAATTGGAAGGATATGAAATCCAAGTTAAATCCGGTATTGTATTTTTTGGATGCAATTTTTTTTGGCTTCTTGATTTTAAAAAATATTGAATTTTTGGAAGAAAATCGGTCTAATAATTTAAACTAGGTATGTCTATTTTTGAGTTTCCATGATTTTTTCTTCATTTTTTGAGTTTTCATGATTTTTAGTTTCTTTTATTAGATAAAAGTTCTACGAAGAGAGAGAGATTCAGTAGTGAAGGTTTTGAACATGTTGGGTAAGTTAGCATGAAAATTGACCTCATTGTTTTCTTTTTTTTTTCCATATTTTGGTACAAGTGATTATGCGTCACTATTGCACATAAATCCTTTTTTATAAAGGGTAATAAGTAGACGTGTTCACTTACCATGTTCCTTGACAAATTTTATGTATTGTAATTACTAGGCAGATGGTGATCCACGATAATTCATTTAATTCTAACAAAGTAGGCTGATGGCTAATATATATGCCAATTGTTATTTATTTTCATATTTGAAATAAAAATTTTAAATTTCGAACTCAAAAACAAACTTTCACTATAATTGGGCTTTCTCTCTCTCTGCCTATGATGATAGAGGGTCGCTCTCTCGCTTCAACATGACCGCCAAGGCACTCGCTCTCCATCTATTTCAATTATAGTTCAGATGCGTTATATTGTGTGCAATTTCTAGTAAATGATGTTATATTTTTTTTAGGTCGGGGGATATTGGATCTAATTAATGACACACTTACAACCACTTGATTTGAAATTTGACGGACAAAAGTACATATAACCTCGTGGCATTAAAAGTAAATGATATGTTTGTATAATTTTTATTAGCTATAGTCAATAATGATAATTGCTTAACTTAGAAAAGAGAGAAGAAAAGGATTGGAGAAGAATAGTACCGCTAGTCTTAAGTGGCCCATGATATTAAGCCCATGATTGTTGAATACTTTAAGGGGTCGTTTGGATACTTGGAAATACATTGTCTGTGAAATATATTACTGGCGTATTACATTAATGCGTGATCTATTACATGCAAATGGATTGTTACTGTTTGGGTAGTATTTAAATGCAACATGTCAAATACATTGCTCTTACTTGACACTTAATATGGAATTGTCTACATTGCACCTTAAATTTGCTCTTACTAGACATAGCGATTTAATATGGAATTGTCTAGAAATAGATTATTTATTTTTTGTAAGCACAATTATCATTGTCCTTTAAATTTCAAAATGGATGGTTGTACTTGTGTCGTTGAATAAATACAAAATTTCAAAAAAAAATTCACTTCATGACTCACCTCAAGCCATCTAATTTGACATCTAATATTTAAGAATGATTGTGACCTCCATTCACAAAAGATAAATGGTCTCTTTGTAGACATTCCTATTTAATATTGAAATGCATATGTAAAGATAGCATGACTATACCATGCTTATCATGCCTCAAAGAGTAATAACTTAATAGTATGAATTAATATTGGTCATAAACATTGAGTGAATTATTTTAGTCACAACCTTTAAATATCGTTAATTCGTAGTTTAAATAGTAAATGGTGATATATTTTTAAAAAAACTTTATTGTGAGATTGTAAAGTATTTTAAAAATTAGATTGAGATATTGGAAAATGTGTAACTAATTTATCATTTCTTTATCTATATCTAAACCCTAATCCCAAAAATCATTTTTTTTCAAAAGAGTAATCATTATAATTTAAATAAAATATAATTTATCAATTTTTTTTCTCGATCTAAACCCTAATGCCAAAAAAATCATTTTTTTTTCCAAAGATTTAGTAATCATTATAATTTACCCGCACGGGCAGACAAAGAAAGGAGGGTCGAAGAGGGACAGAGAGAGCAGGCTCGAAGAGGGATAGAGAAGGGAGGCTCGAAGAAGAACAGAGACTGAGTAAAGATGACTGACTATATCAGAAGGGCAAACATAGAATATTTGGTTTACATGACAAAGAAAAAAAACAGTGAATTCAAGCAAAATAATGTGAGGAGAGAAATTGATACGATGATTTGGAAATGGCTTTGAGTCTGGAAAAGTGGTAGGTTTACTAGGTTGAGAGAGAAAAGTGAAGCTTCAGAGGGAGAAGATGATGTATCGAGACAGAGGAAGATGATGTAGGCAGGAAAATGGATGTAGGCAGGAGAGAGGAAAAATGGATGTAGGCAGGAATGAGGGAAAATGGATTTTTAGACGCCCGCAGTAGATTACCGGTTACGGGCGTAAAAGATTTGCCAGCTCTCATCGGGTGTAATAGATTTCAATATATTTGAGGAAATATTAAGTAATCTATTTTCATTTCCTTATTAATAAATGTACCGTGTAAATGTCATATTTCCTACTAATCTATTAATATTTTTTCAGGTACCCAAACAACCCCTACAATAAATATACCGTGTAAATGTCATATTTTCTAGTAATCTATTAATATATTTTCGGGTACCTTAACGGCCCCTAAAAGACATATCCCTAACAACTGCATATAACACTAAATAGCATTGTTTTCATGTACTCACGTAGCCCGTGGGTAGCCAATGAATCCCATCTATAAAAACACAAGACAAGAAAGAAGATCAATTGGACCCAGTCAAAATAGAAAGATAAATGTATTTGAATGAGACTAAAGTAAAAAATTGCCCAATAAAATATAGAAAGTATATAATGAAATCATTTATTTTTAGTATTCTCAAACTTTGTGACACACCTAAGCTATCAAACTTTACAACAGATAGTTGTAAGTAATTGTGACCTCAGTGCATCAAAGGTAAATAGTCTTATTATTTACAATCTCATAAAATACACCTAATATAAAAAAAGACCCGGTTTCTATGTGGCCAAGCATGTATATGTAGAAATGTGGACCTATCAATTTTTGAGATGGATTTTAGGCAATTTTTAACGATATGTAATCTCCAACATGAAGATCGTGAATATAAATAAATAAATAAATTTTAAAAACTAACTAATAATTCTAGTAAGAAAATATTTGGACCATTAGTTTTCATTGTTTTTAGATGGAACACCTACTTGCATCCATCTTTAAGATGGAAGCTTTACACTTTTTGGACATTGTCGGTAATAGAAATAGATTTTGGAGCTATCATGAAGATTTCCGATGCCCAAAGTTATGGATAAAGATTCGAGTTGAGGCTTGTTTTCATAAAGCCTAGGCATTACAAAAACCGCAGCCTTTGAAAAATATATCAAAGCATATAGTCGTAAATATCTGAATATACCTTTCTATTGCATCTGTAAATTGATGTAGTTCATCTAAGGTTCCATGAATGTCATAAATATCATCAATAATATGAATGAAGGCAATGACTTTGGTGAGATCAACTCTACCCATAGAAAACTCAGACTCCGACGAAAGAACAACAGGGCACATGAACCATTCATGTATTTTATCCCGTGCAAATGTTAGCTTATCTGCCAAACCCAGGTCCCTCCACAACCTGAAACTTTTTTAGGGTAGTTCAGATATAGGATTCGAATTTGAGATATAGCACTGTGAACGAGAGACATTAGGTATCATAACAGAATTTCATGTGTAGAATGGTTTGGCAAGGTACCAAACCCATAACTGAATCACCTTGTGACTTCTTTCAACTCCTGCTTATGCATTGCTTGCACCATATTGAAATCCAATAGACCAAATTCTAGCAAATCCTGGTTCCTCTTAGTGTCTCTTTCATAGACTTCTATGTAATGCATGGATTCTAACCTCAGCGTGCGCCGGTACAAGGCCAGCTCGAGCACATGCTTGACATTTCTAGCAAGTTCAGGCTCGAGTCGAGACATTGATGCTTTAAGGTGCTTAAGACTGAAAGCTAAAGCTTCATCCATGCACTCTTCTCCTTGTATGCCAAGGTGTGAAGCATCATGTAGAGTCAAGATGCCCATAACATCTTTGCTCAAGCTTGGTTTGAAATCTCCACTTTCATCCTTAAATTTGTTGAACGAAATTAATGGAACTAAATTAACTTTCTTGGCAAAGGGTGTCAAAACATATAAATTACATGGAACCAAATTAATTTTCTTGGCACAAATTAAACTTGAAAATTTACATTTGTAATTCAAAAAATATAAAAGCAGGAAGCTCAACTTGGAAGAGACTGTAATATAATAATTTTTTAGGTAAATCAGAGGGGAAACTTGATCACCTACCCATATTCATTTATATAGAAAAACTACATAAATTATAATTGGAGATCCATTGAAAAGGAATATTCACGACACCAGAAATCAAAAAGAGAGAAATAAAATCTGTTGGTTCTAACAAACTATGATATAGATCACTTGCCTGATGACACTCTATATCCATGTTGTCTGAGGATTCGAAATCGTAAAAAAAACAACATATAGGTCATCGTCGCAGTCTCCTACGAAACCATCCTTGTAAATGCGACCTATCTTTCTCCGATTTCAGCCTCAAAATGGTAGGATATGCCAAGCCGTTGGATGTTGTCGATTAAAACCATGGTTTCTATGTCATTAATAGTGGCACTAATCATCCTCATCAATTTTTTCTTCAAGTCGTTGAACCGGGAAATATTGATATCAGCCAGAAAATCAGTTATCCATAAGCTTAAAAGACTTCTGATAGCCTCAAATGGATCGGGATCTAATTTCCTGGACTAAAGTGATAAATGGGCTATAAAGTAATGCCAAATGATTACATTCAAATGCCACTACTACCATACCCATATGGAAAAAGTTTATGTAGAGCTAAGTCTCTAAACAATCAAATTAGAGCCCACCTCAAAAATTTCACTAGAAGATGATGTTTTTTATGCCTAAATATTCTCAAATTGATCACCTCAACATCAAGATGCGTGGACATGAGAAAAAAAATTAGATTTCAAGTTTTAGAAATAGTGTATCTTGCAACGCATTTTTGGACCGTCAATTTTCAAGATTTTCAAGTTTTCGTAGATTTGCTTGATTTACACTATTTTTTAAGCTTTAAATTTATAATTAAAGATGAAAATATATTTTAAGGCTATCACAAAGATTTCCAGTATTGAAACCATATATCTTGACACTATTTGGAGGTATGCTTTATTTTAATTGTTCAAAGCCTAGACTCTATACTGCAAATATTTTTTTTTGGGTAAATACACCCTACAAATATTAGTATATAAAGAAGGACAAAGTTTATATAAGGATGCAACCTTATAATGTAGAGCTACGGATTCCCCTAAAAAATTCTTCAGAAAAGATAGTTTTAATATTGAAAAACCTTTTGATTAATCATCTCGACATTGAGATGTATGACTATAAAAAATAAAAAGATTTTAAGTCTCAAAAGTAGTATCATATTATTTATGCCATCAATTTTCAATATTTTCATATGTTTATAGATCTATGTGATTTTAATTATTTTTTAAATTTAAAATTTTATAATTAGATATAAAAATAAATTTTAAAATAATCGTAAAAACATTTTACATTTAAATTGTATACGTAACAAAATTCGAAATTGTACCGTATCTCTATACTTAAGGATGCATCCGTATGCCAACCGCACAATATACGGAATGTACGATTTGATTACTAGGAAAGACAAAACCCCTGGGCAAACTTTATTTTACTATTTTTGTACTATATGACTTATTTATTATATATGCCTACTGGCCTAAAAACAAAGGACGACGGACTCGCACGATGCGCCATTTTGTGGTTATGTGATGTAACCTCCCCGGCTGACTGAAAAGACTTAAGCCCTGAACATAAATATTTTTTTACTTGTCATGTTGAGACTAGTAAAAATATAAATGGGAAAATGGATTTGTAAACCGAAAAAAAAAAAAAACCAAAAAAAAAAAAAGGAAGAAAAGAACGTAATCTATAATAAAAAAATTACTTATGGACCGGATAAAGCATTTTGTTTTTGGTCCAAAATTTTAAAAATTTTATACCAAGGTTTTTTTTTACATGTTCTTTTATACCCATTTTTCCAATAGCTTAATATTGCAAATATCGAAATGCATATTTTATTTTTTGTCTATTTTGGCGATTTCTGGAGCCATCAATTGTCCCATATATTAGACCAACCCATGAAAAATAAAAAAAGTGAGCTAGTTGATTATCTCTAACATTGGACCCCCAATTGATTATATATTGTCCACCTTGATATCATAAATGTTGAACCTGCATGGTAAGGAAATGTATTATTACCACTTCTACTTAAGGTGTTATGCATATAAAAGAAAGGAAACAGAGACATCCGATTGGCCCCTTTTTTTCTAATTCCAAATACTGCCCTATTATTAGAAAATGACATTAGATTGTCCCTTTTTTTTCTAATAGGAAAAGTTTATATAAGGTTGCGACCTTAAAATATAGAATCACAGATGCACCTCAAAAATCTATCGAAAATGTTGTTTTAATGTTGAAAAAACCCTCCAATCGATCATCTCGATATTGAGATGTATGAATAGGAAAAAAAAGTTTTTTAGCTCCGAAAATAGTGCATCTTGCAACACATTATCTAAACCATCATTTTTCAAGATTTTTATATATTTATAGATATATTTGATTTTAACTATTTTTAGAATTTAAAATTTTCTAATTAGGTATGAAAATAGATTTTAATCACAATAAATATTAACCGTCCTGATGTAAGTTTTCCTAAAAATGTGAAACAAGAGTGGGAACCCAAGCTGACCGTGAAGTCTCACCATGTAACCATTAAAGTGACGGTCCTTATTGGAGAAATCATATGAAATCTCATGCCTTCGTGTGTGAAAACTTGAGGCGCTTCTTGTAAGACCGCGGAGCGGGCCTTTACCCATTGAGAAAGTGCTTCAATGGGATGTCTTAGGCTCTATTCCTACAGTTAACACGGGTCGATGGTTCGGCTGATGCCTCAAAATAATATCCCACCCTCCATTTCTACCATGAATGTATGAAAAAGGAAAAGAAAAAGGAATGAAAGAAGGTTATGCAGACTCTCGCAAAATATACTTCAGCTCTTGGTGGGTATGTCAGGAACTATGCCAATTTATGTATGGTCCTCAGAGGGATCACCGTACATTCTTGATAGGCACAATGGCATCAAACAAAAGTTTAATCGCAAGAGCCCAAGGACGCTAGATTTTTATGATGTAGGGCACATGGTCCTGACCCCTCTGTACTCCTCTGTGAGGAAAATACCACAAAATTTGTGGGAAGCTGCCCCAAGCCATTACTCCTTCCGCATGTCAAATTCTAAATGGTGATTGTAACCTTGTATCAAAAGTAAATGGGTATGGCTTACATAAGGTTTCAACCTTAAACAATCCAATTAGGGGGCGCCTCTAAATTTTAACATAAATGTAATATTGATATAAAAAAAACTTAGGATGTCTTGAGAATCTATTTTCATCACTAATTATAAAATTTTAGAATCTAAAAATAGTTCAAATAGGGAAGATCTTAATTCGATGCAAAGTGAAGAACCTTACCAGGGCTTGACATGCCGTGAATCCTCTTGAAAGAGAGGGGTGCCTTTGGGAACGCGGACACAGGTGGTGCATGGTTGTCGTCAGCTCTTGTCGTAAGGTGTTGGGTTAAGTCCCGCAACGAGCGCAACCCTTGTGCTTAGTTGCTACCATTGAGTTTGGAACCCTGAACAGACTGTTAGTGATAAGCCGGAGGAAGGTGAGGATGATGTCAAGTCATCATGCCCCATATGCCCTTGGGGACACACGTGCTACAATGGCCAGGACAATGGGTCGCAAATCCCCGAGGGTGAGCTAACTCCAAAAACTTGTCCTCAGTTCGGATTGCAGACTGCAACTCACCTACATGAAGCCGGAATCGCTAGTAATCGTCGATCAACCATACGGTGGTGAATTCGTTCCCGGGCCTTGTACCTGTCACATTATGGAAGCTGACCATGCCCAAAGTCATTATCTTAACCGCAAGGAAAGGGATGCCGAAGGCGGGGCTAGTGACTGGAGTGAAGTCATAACAAGATAGCCGTACTGGAAGGTGCGGCTGAATCGCCCCCTTTTAATGAGAGCTAATGCTTTTTGGGTATTGTGGTTTGATACCGCTTCACACCCAAAAAGGAGCAAGCCACGTCTAAGCTAAGCTTGGAGATGGAAGTCTTATTTTGTTTCTCGACGGTGTAGTAAAACCAAGTCTATGAGCTTATTATCCTAGGTCGGAAATAGGATCATTTTTTACGTCCCCATGTCCCTGCCAGTGTAGCAACATGGGGGCGCAAAAAGGAACAAGAGGGATGAGCTTTCTCTCGTGTTTGGCATAGCAGGGCTCCCCACTGAAGGGGCCTAGCCTGGTCGACAGGCTATTAGCTCAGTGATAGAGTGTGCCGAGGGCTCTCAGTCTCATGGATAGTTCAATGTGCACATCAGCGCCTAACTCGGAGATGTGGATCATCCAAGGCACATTAGCATGACGTACTCCTCCTGTTCGAGCCAGAGTTTGAAACCAAACTTGTCCTCAAGAGGATAGATGGGGCGATTCAGGTGAGATCCAATATAGATCCAACTTTCTAATCACTAAATTTCTCTATGAGTTTAAGCTAGTTTTGTCTTTTGTCTTGTGTTTAGTAATTGGTCCAATGCTTAGTGTGGAGCTTGACATCCATGTTTAGTGTTGATCTTTTTTGACATAACATGGATGATCCTAGCATTGATTTGTCTGCATGTGATCTCGTCAATCGGATATTCCAGGTTCTTCTTCATTCGCCAAACTCATCTCGATACACACCTTACTCGTAAGAAAGCTAGAAATTTGGAGAAAGCTAATGATATATAGTTCACGTAGAACATTTTTTACTTCTTTTCTTTGTTTTTTACTCCTTTACTGAGCACTAGAGATAGTGTTACTTTCTAGAGTTATTATTAGCATGTTTATATGTTTTACTATCTTCTATATTGTAGTTCTTTCAACATTTTAAGAAAATTCTACAGCCACCAACTTCTAGATGGTCATTTTGTATATGAAGTCTAATTGCGGAAACACTCAGGTGGCTTCTTCCCTCATCTATTATCAAGGAACCTTGTCCCGATTATTTGGGGTTGGCTAGCTTTTTCTCTCAATGATTGTTAATTTCCATTTTTCCAACATGCTGACTGCAATCTTAGAATTTTCTAGGCCCCCAAAAAACAAAGATTAAATGCTATTGTAAATAAACCTCAAGTCCTCTATGGTATTTTGGAAACTACTGAAGTGTTATAAATACTTCTAAATTATGAAAATTTGTCTTTCCTTAAGTATTCATGCTGTCAATCTACATACTATTCTCCATCTAGTTAGCATTCGCAAATGTTAATAGCTTCTCGTTGTGAATTTCGTTTTCCTCCAAGGAATAATTGTAAACCTCTGCAATGCACAAAGGAAAAGCTTCGAACACCCTATTTAAGGGTACTAAAGCACTATTTTAGTTTGAGAGTGCTTCGAAAAGCCTTGTATGTGTGTGTGTAATGTATGAATTATACATATATTGTTTTCTAATGCAAAATCAACGAAGCCCAACTAAAGTTTTCTAATGCAAAATCTCTTTCATCAGCTCAAAGTTTTCTAATGCAAATCTATTTCATCAGCTCAGTTCTTTGAGAATAAAAACTAAGCCAGTGATGCTTCTGCCCAAATTCCAAGTTCTTCTTCTTTAGCCAAACTCATCTCGATCGCTACCTTAATCGACAGAAATCTTGAAATTTTGTGAAAGCTATTGATACATACTTCACATCGAACAATTTTTTACTTTTTTTCTTTGCTTTTTGATTCCTCTGCTGAGCATTAGATATAATGTTCTTTTCTAGAGTTATTATTAGCCTATTTTTACATTTTATTGTCTTGTATATTGTGGATCTTTCAACATTTTAAGAAAATTCCACAGCCACCAACTTCTAGACGGTCATTTTTTTATAAGAAGTTGAATGGCGGAAACATCAGGTGGCTTCTTCCCTCAGTCATCATCATTGAACCTTATCCTGACTATTTGGGGTTGGCTAGCTTCTTCTCTCAGTGATTGTTAATTTCTTTTTTTTGCATCATTTTTATCGCAATATTTGAATTATCTAGCCCCCCAATAAACAAAGATTAAATGCTATTGAAAATGAATCTCAAGGCCTCTATGGTATATTGGAAACTACTGTGGTGCTATAAATATTTATGAATTATGAATATTTGTCTTTCCTTAAATATCCATGTTGTCAATCTACTTATTACTCTCCATCTAGTTAGTGTTTGCAAGGTTTGATATGCTCCTCATTGTGAATTTGGTTTTGCTCCTAGGAATAATGGTAAAGCTCTGTTATGCACAAAAGCAAAACATCTAACTTCCTCCTTAGGGGCCGGCAAAGCAGGCTTCTAAGTTTGAGAGTGCTTCACAAGACAAAAAAAGCCTTATATGCGCGTGTGTAATATATGTAATGTAGCTAGTTTTCTAATGCAAAAATCAACCAAGCTCAACTATAGTTTTCTAATGCAAAATTTATTTCAGTTGCTTAGTTCATTGGGGATCAAAATAAAGCAAGTGATACTTCTGCCCAAATCTCCTTGCAAAAATTCACAGTATGCTCTCTCACTTCATCATCTCCTCTTCTCTGTATGTGTGTCTTTATGTTTTTGCGTGTGTAGTACATATCCCACATACACGCGTGCATACACCCATATCTACATTCTACACGTTCACATAGACGTATTAAATAGATTTTTTTTTTTTGTACACCATATAGTGAAAACTGGCCCAGCTTGGTCTACTCCATTATTCAAGTGACACAGACTTTTGTAACTCCACCGATCAACTAAGAGTTGTCCATGACCCTTCAAAAAAAAAAATGTGTTTTATTGTTTCTAAACGAAACTCCCCTTCTTGGAATTGGCCTTTGTGGGTATTTTTTTGGCTAAATGATATTCTATTTCTGTGGGAGTACAATGTCTATTAACTCCCTCAGTTACAACCCCATCTAGAAATAGTTTTAGGACCCCAAATTTTGGGGATGCAACCCCTTCAATCCATGGACTAAAAAAAATCCTTATTACACCCATCTAAAGTTGGACGACAAATTTCAATATCTTTTCGAGAGTCCCAAAATTTTAGATTTTGTTTGACATTATCTCAATGAGTACAATGACCTCACAAAATAGGCCCATATGAATGCTTGAGCTTTTTTTCTCCTTTTTAGGCAGCATTCAAATGTTTCTATTAGCGGCAATATAATATTTTTTTTTGTTTTTTCTCCAGATGGAGCTCTAACAATTTTGTTTGCAGCTAGAACAAATATTAAGCATATCTTCCCTTCAATCACTGCATATCTTCCCTTCAATCACTGTTTTACTGCCCTTGTTGTTACCATAATTCTTAGCATGTGTCTAAGAAATTGTTTCCATATTTTGATATTTACATTAATGACTGCAGGTTGAGGAAACCAATGAAGGCCAACAAAAGTTTTTTTAATGCAAAATCTATTTCATCAGCTCAGTTAATTTTTTATTTTATTTTTCTTCTCTTAATGTTAATTTTGGTTGCATGTATTGCTCGGAGGCTCGATTGGAGCAGGATTACCATGTTCAAGGATCACAATAAAAAATTATCTTATTTTATTGTGCCATTTGCATTTTCCTTTTTATATTCCTCTTGTTTTGTTATACTTCTCCAGTAATTTTGGTATGTGATTACTGCACATTGGATGTTGTGTAATATTATTGTTGTTGTTGTAATAAGATTTAGAATGAGATTCGGGATTCTAAAAAAAATTGTCTCATTTAATGTAAATATTGGTTGATAGTTTACTAAAAATTTCACTACAACCTCATAGGTTGGTTCTAATGCTTGTGATTATCACATCTCAAATATTGTGATGTTTTTTTGAGGCTTGGATTTAGTCTTCACATATCAAATATTGTGATGTTTTCCTGAGGCTTGGATTTAGTCTTTGGTAATTGTCATTTTTTCCCACTCTGTAATCTGCAAGCAAAATGATTCCCTTTTCTGCTTATTTTAGGGGAAAAAAAAAGAACTCATCCCATTGCTAAATGTAATGCTCTAGGGCAAACTATGTGGATTAACTTTTTTTGGGAATTTATTATTGAAACAAATATGTGGAATTTAGGATGACATTTGATATTGGTCTAGAATATAGTTTGAAAAGTCAAATTTGTAGTGGTGATGTTGGTATAGCTTTTCGGGCATCGTTTTTGTTAAAGGTGACATTAACTATTGTGGAACAAGTTTTGGGCAAAAGACTCCGAAAGCACATAAAGCTTTTTATAAATGTTTTACAATGTTTAAAAATTTGGACTGGTGGTTTGACTCGTACATATGGGTGACTAATGGAGGTAAAATCGAAACAAATACGCATCAAGGGCAGCTGATTGCCAAAAGCTTAATAGAAGACCCATCTTCTCCTTGATCACCCCTTGCTTCTCATGCAAATCAGACAGTAAATAGTCTATCCAATGTGAAGTTTATTGGTACATCCAAATAAAATAAGGTTGTTGATAAACATGAAGCACCTGAAGTTACTGCCTCACCAAATGCTCCTTCCATCCAGTTACCATTACCATAAAAAAGCCCATTGATGCAAGAGAGGGAAGTAAGACGAAGGTCTTGGTGCCCAGAAGCTTTCTACGATGGTCGTATCGTTCTTTAGCTTACAGTAATGCAAAAAATTTCTATTCCTAAAGATGATTGTTTAACTTTAATCCTAACTCTTTTTTTGATTTATTGGTGGCATTATTTGTAGTTAATGAATTTATAATCTTGGATTGCATTAAAGTTGAATCCAATCCTATGTTAGTGGAAACACCCCCATGTGATGGATGGCAAAGGAGGAAACCAAAAAGTATATGGGGGAATATTGTGTCTCTCACATGTCACATGAGCCCATGAGTGCTCTAGGTGATAGGTGTGAGCTCCCATGATAGCAATCTGTTTCTTTTTAATGCCAAAATATTATATGCACTTGCAGGAATAAATTATACATTCATTCCCCCAAGTAGACTCCTATTTGAGAGGACTTTTAAAACCCAATTACAGCCTCCTCATCTTAGCCATCAAGTTCAAGAAAAAAAAAAAAGGTAATTTATATATGTTTTAAAAAACAATGCCTTAAAAGGGAACGAATAACATCCAGTATTTGAATGATCAAATCCAAGTTTCTACAAACCCAAAGTCCATTTTTTATTAGAATTGAGCTGGTGATTCCAGTCCGGAACTCAAAATTTCAGATCAGGAATATCTTCTGACGAGGCATTGTACTCAAAGGAGTAAATGTATAAAGTGATCCTACGGGACGACTCTATATTGGAGCTATTTTTATATTATTTTTAACTAATACTTTCTATGGAAGAAGGAGAGCTCCAACTACAAGAGTTCACATAAACAATCTGGATATGTTTATTTGATTAATCAAAAGCCTAACTCAATATTAAATGTTATTATAATTAACAACCTAGGATTAAGGATTGTCGTCCTCTCTTATAAACAAAGAAGCAGTAATGGTTAAGGCATGGTCTCCAACACCATGATCACGGTTCTCGCATCCCAACTACCCCATCTTCAAGAAAAGAGGTTTTGTTTAATCAAAGTCTATGTATTGGGATTTCGACAAATTGGAATTATATATAATGAGCAAGAATAACGAATGTATGATTAGTGTATGGTTTGGCAACTTTTGAAATCAAATAAATTCATGAGCAATTTACGTATGTATGGACATAAAATAGATAAAATACAAAATTGGTCAATTTTGGTAAAAATTTATGAGAAAGGTCAGTAGAGTTTTTAATTTTTTCGATAATGCCCCTCGATCTAGGGATGGTATCGGTTTTAATTTATTTTATTTTATTTTTTTATTGTCTGGGCCATGTCTTATGTTTTAGGACAGTTGGCGACTGGTTCGAAGTCTCTATCTTCGAATCACTCAGATTGTAGTGTTACACCACATTATAAGTGATCCGAGGATGAAGATATCAGACCACTGTAACTCAGTTAGCGGTGTAAGGTCCCCATCCATTGACCGCCCGCACTGTGGTGTTCGACCACACTATCGGTGGTCCGAAGATAGAGACCTCAAACTACTTGTAATGTGGTGTAACATGACATTCGAGCCACTCCAAAAATGCAGACTTCAGATTGCCTGTAATGTGTTGTAACACCACAATCTTGGTGGTTTGGAGATATGAACCTCAAACCGGCCACCAACTATTTCAAAACATAAGATACGACCCAGGCAATCGAAAAAAACTAAAAAAACAAGAAGTTAAATCAGTCCGAGGACACCGTTCCTAGTCCGACGGGTGTTATGAAAAAAATAAAAAATTCTTCACTAAACGATATTAATCGTAATTTGTGGCCAAAATTGACCTATTTTATGTTCTATTTATTTATTTTGTATCCACACGTAAATTGCTTATAAATTTATTGCTTTGGAGTCTCGCAGTTTTGATTGGTTGCCCTCGATGCACACATATAAACACATAAGAAGCTCTCTGTCAGGGGTTGGTGGAATCGCCCTTAAATGCTCGCTCCATTGGAGAAATCGCCCTTAAATGCTCCTTCCAAAAACGCTCCACACTTTGAATAAAAAAAAGTTACCAGGCCAGCAGTGGGCAATGGGACGGGCAGCCCGGCTAAAACTTCGGATCCTAATTTTGGTGTAGGGGTGGCAATGTACCCAACCAACCGAGAATCCACGGATAGACCCGACTTTGTTTTGTATAACTGAATGCTATTCGGATCCGAATCCAAGTAAGACCCCTTTGGCTGGGCAATGCTTCTTTGCCCTCATTGCCTCTCCTTGCCTATGGCTGGTAATGAGCCAAAACGATTAGCATGTCTCACTTGGCTCGACCTTTAAAAACTAAGACTTGGACCACAAAATACAGATAGTCTCAGCCATGAGCTTTTCATCCAAGTGGGCCTGGGCCAACTTAGGGCTTCGGCCAAACCAGATCGCTCCTTTGCCAGACATACCAACCCCTCCCTCTCTCTCTTCTCTTCTCACTCTCTAATGTCTGGGCATTTGACACGATACCCGCAGCGTATATTCCGTCTGTCGATACTCTCTTTCTCTCTCTACGTGGTCTTCAGTCTCTCTCACACATTTTCAAGTTCCAACATCTCTCTCTCCTCCGTTGTCGGTCCTCAGGATTCGAAGTTTCTCTCTCTAGAAAACGCCAAGATTCAAAGTTTCTCTCTCTAGAAAACCCTGTAACCAATTGCGATTTTCCCTCTCTAACCTGCGTATTTCTCCTCCCTCTCTTTTTCTCTCTAACTTCGATCTAACCCCGCCGTTTTCAAAGTTCCCCGCTCTTTCTCTCTCTCCAGCATTTCGCCTTCTCTCCGAGTTCGAATCTTTAATTTATTCCGCCTCTGTCTCTATCTCTCTCTCTGCAACTGCTGCCTTGGTCACAAGACCTCAAATTTTAGAGTTCGAATCTTTAATTATTCCGCCTCTCTCTATCTCTCTCTCCAGCTTTTTGCCTTCTCTCCGAGTTCGAATCTTTAATTTATTCCTTCAGGTGTTTTCAATAGAAGTCTGGTATGCCTCTTTTTACCTTCTGTTTTTCCTTTTTTTTTGGGGGGATTAATTTTTGTGTTTTCTTCTTGACCTCCTCTTTTGCACTCGCCGAATTCTCTCTCTCTCTCTCTCTTCGTTAGAAGTGTTCAAACTTTTGCAATTGCGGTTTATGTCATGTAGGGAATTATGGATGCCTGTTTGTTTGTTTCTCTCTCTTAAAGAGATCTTGAGACTCATTGTTGACGATGGAGCTCTCTTTGTAAAACAAACAACATCTATATTTTCTCCTGTGTTTATTTCTACATTTGCCTCAGTATTTTCCATTTGATGTAGATTTTTTTCTGAATTTATGTCAATATAGGTTAGAACCACTACACACTGAAACTATAGAAGTCGTGTTCTTTATTTCTGTCTCACACTTTTTCTATAGTGCTACTTTTCTTTTCAATCACAAACCTTTTCTATAGCTTTGCTTTTGAGTCTATATAGGTGGTGCTTTTCGGTTACTTTTTAAAAAACTTTGCTTTTGAAACTACAGATATTGCTCTTTTCTTTCCCAGTCCCATTGTTTTTCATTAGCTTTTCATTATCATTTGAGTGGTTCTGAACGCTTTTCATTCTTTTCTGATGCATTTTTCCAGGCCCTTTTGACGGTTAAGATGCTTCTAATGTCGTGGTCTCGGATGCAGGCCTAGCAAAAGGACTAGGCTTTTACTCTAATTACTGCCATTTCAGTCAATGGGCTGCTTCCATTCGAAGGTCAGAAGGCAATATCCGGGACAAGAAGACCCTGTAGCTCTAGCTGCGCAGACGTCTTGTACGTTTAGGAATTGCTGGCTACATTCTTTACAGTCTTCTTTATGTCATCATATTGGGTGCATTGTGCATCTCTAAGGGCGTAAACCATCTCGGTTTTGTTCTTTATTATGGTTTTGTGCATTGTTTTTGGTTGACGATAATATATCATATCTCAACAATATAAAATATGGATGATAAATCATATGTTTTTTTTTGGGTAAGTATGATAAATCATATGTTTGTATATACAATATGCCAAGATCGCATTGAACTAGGGAGAATAGGGTTTTGTGAGTCACCTTGAATGGGGTTTTGTGAGTCACCCCAAATTACAAGGCTTGGCCAATCTGCATATCAAGTTTTGAATTTCAATGAAAACAGCTTTTGATGGGATCTGTGATTCCCAGTGGTTACATGTAGGACTTTGGGAGTCAATATCAGGAATCACACTCTCAAAGAGAAGCCATCAAAAATTTCTTGGAGGAAGCCATTGAAAGATTTCACATTGCTTTCAGTTTGTCTTTAATTTAAAATTGTGGATGGCCTCACCCACAAGTCCACAACTCATGAAGGCTTGACAATTTCGTGTTATCCATCCATGTACAGTAATTTGTTTTGCTTAATGGAACCATCACCATCATAACGTTCCGCATCATTGATTGCATAATATCATCCATGCCCCAATTTGCATATGGAACAAATTAGGAATAACCCCTACAATATATTTTGATAATAGCTTTCAGATGGACAAACTGTAACTAAACTAAAATATGACATGGTCAACTGCCTCTTTCTATGTTATATGTAGCAGTAGAGCTGGAACCCACAATTGTGCAAGAAAAATCCCAACAAGGCTATCAATATTAAGAAGTTTGTCTTTATGACATAACCATGAATTGCTGATATGGAAAGGAGGAGGAGAATGGTTATTTCATTCATTCCCTTGCTTACTACAAGGTCCTCACCTTCATTACTGCACAACTTTCTGTGCAACAAAATAGCCAAAAGAAAACCATATGCTCTAATCTTCGAAATCTCTATTCTCCCAAGCCCCCATCCTGGTGGGATCTTCTAAATGCTGAAAGAATCAACAAATCTGTTAGCTTACTCTTGTTTCCTTTAATGCTCCAGGGCCTTCTGGAGAATGCTAAAAGACTCTACATTATGTTGAATTGCCATAATTGAAGCTCTTGGAGAGTAGCTGTGTAATGTGTTCGGTACAGATCCCTAAGAACCTATCCACTAAACAGCCATTTACACCCCCTACTTCAAGCGTGAAAGCCACTTCTAAACTCTTCTGCTAACTAACTGCATCGCTAACCCCGACAGTATTCCTTCTCCCTCACTAGCACAAACCCTTGGTTTTTGTGCTTAAACTTGTCTGGCAACAGCACTCCTTCCACTAGACTGTATGTATCCATTTTCCCTATATATGGAATTTATCTATGATGATGAATAAAGAGAGGCATACTGGATTCCTTTATTGATCTACCTCAAGCAACAGACTAAAAACAGTCATGTCACATGATCAGTTACTTTCTCTGGATCAATCATGTATATAATTCTGGGCTTATGCAATGTGAGTCTTGAACCCACCAGCTTGTGGACCTCTAATGTGATATAAAGGATTTGTTTGCCCTTTGACAAAACCCCATTGACCAAGGATGATGATTAAGCGCATAATCTCCATGGTTGTTATATATGGGACCTTTGCAATTATTTGACAGAGCCCCTAATGAGACTTAAGCTATGGAATCTATAATGTCCCCAACCTCTTTTTTTCTTTGATATGGGTAACAGTGGTGCCATTAATCCCTCAAAGCTATCCTTATTTGGCTATGGAATTTCTCAAAAGAATTCATAACTTCATATTTTCATGAATGCCAAAAATTCTTGAGAAAAGCAATCAGGAAGCCATATGGCTTAGAAAGTCTGGATGACTACCATTCTAAAAACCGTTTCACCTAAACCTCAAGAAAGGACCTCTATAACCAAATTACTCATAAGATGGACCTAAGCTTCACACTGCCGGTCACCATCTTCAACCCTACAAAAAAATTTAAAGAAATCCACCGGTTCAGCTTGTCTCCATTTTTAAACTCCAAGTCTCCAACCAAAACTTTATCAACTGTATTCTTTTTTTTTTCTTGGCGCTGGGCCTTTTGTGGAAGTAAATGCATATTTCAGTTGCCCCCATCAGTAAGCAAGGATGGGATTTGTCTCAACAGGTCCTGGTATCTGATTCTCACAGTCATGCCCATAGTTATTGGGAACGGGAGCATGTGTGGGACTTTGAGCAAGAGCGGGAGCTTGGAATCTAACCATGGCTAAAGCTCCCTACCTTGAGAGCGTTGTTCTGAAATCTGGCCTGGTAGTCTAAAAGTCCCATAAAAAATTTTGAAAAATGAGTTTGGAGGGCCTTGATAAGAACCAAACTTAGGAATCACTCGAGTCCCTAACCGGATGAGACAGGGCAATTCTTTATAGGGAGAACTGCCAGTTTTGGACAACCTTGGTGATTGCCCTCTTAGGGACTATCTGGGACCAAAGAGCCCCCCAAGTAAGAGCTGACTAGGGCGATTGCACGCCGGTTTAAAACATTTCCTAAGATTGAGATCCCTGTAAACAATGACTGTGCCATAAAACATTTCCTAAGATTGAGATCCCTTTAAACCATGACTGCGCCACCCCATTTCCAGTAGGGTCGCGATCCCTTTCTGAAGCAATCAAGATCCATTTTTGTAAAGGATCGAGATCTTTATAAGATAGGGATTGTGCTCCCTTGATGGGATGATTGAGCTCCTGCTCTGGGATCGTTGGAGTGAGATTTCGAGGGAGATTGCCATCCCCCAACCAAGCTCCCCACACCCATTTTTTAGAAGCGTTCTTTTTTTCTATGCTCTGTCTGAAGCTTCAAGCTAATCTAGAAGGGAAACATTCATATTACCTATCCTACGGAAGCACCTCCTTATTTATATTTTTTATATCAGTAGTTTCACAAAGAAAAGTTACAGAATCAACTTCATCTAAGGGCAATCATACTTACATGGAATATAACCCCTCTCTAGCCCGTCATTGTTTAAAAGTTTCCTCATTATTTGTTTTGGGATGTGCTTGTATGTTGCTTGTGTGGTGTGATGGGAGTTCCTCTGTGGATAAGAATCTATCTCATAATTTCTTGCTATTTAAAGGAACGTGGGTTATGGTCTCAAAATGGTAGCATGTGTGCAAATGATGCTTATGATAGATTTCTGTTTCGGTTTCCTTGTAGTTCTTTTTCCACATATTATTTGAGCCATGAAATATACTTGTTGAATGGTCTAGCTATAAAGAATATGACTGCTTCTGTTGCTTCAAAATGACACTGCAAAAGAAAGGAGTTGTTTATTTTGCTTTGCATTTGACATTATTTGGTTCATGCATAAAAAGTGCTAGGATTAACTTCATTAACGGTCAATGATGGATGAACTGAAGTGCTTCCGGAATTTTGTTCTCCCCTTCCACATATTTTGTTGGAATTGTTTCATTTTTATCTTGTTCTTTTATTAATTTGGTTGCATAATTAATTTTCTGAAAGGGCACACGAGTATGAACTGAATACTTCCCCTGATCAGGCTACAAATTGTACCTCTCGGTGCAACATATTTTTAGGATTGTGCCCTTTGTTGGATAAGGTGTGGAGGCTGGGCCAATGATTTCCTATTTTTTCCTTACTTTGTTTTACAGTCAGTGTTAGTGAAGTTGAGGCTTTATTTGAGTTGTTCAAGAGCATCAGCAGTTCTGTAATTGATGATGGGCTAATAAACAAGGTATGGTTGACACAGACATATATACACCTCCTGAATTTGTTCCTTTTATTAATGCCTTCCATCTTTATGTGGATCTGTTTTCTCAAATAATTCTCAACATGGATTTCCCTGTTTGTTCTTTTTCATTTTGGATTTCTAATTTTCCCCCTCTCCGCACATGACTAGCAATCACAGATTTACGTGGTGAATTTTAGTGGTTGCTTGACGGATTAGCTCATTTTATGGTTAATTTGGTCATATAATGGTTTTCTCCATATATAGAAATGAAACATGCATATATTATGGCATTGAATTTGTTATGTCTTTATAGATACTAAATTAAATTAGCCATATATAGGATTTTATAAAAAGAATAGACATTTCATGATGCTTAATTAGGTATCTATTAAAATTAGAACATTGCACATGATAGGACTGATGAAAAAAAATACAAATTTACATGAATGGTTATCAAGAAATAATGCATAAGAAGATAGATCTTAACATGGTGGGATGAAGCCCCTTGGGGGCAAAATGGACAGGCTCAAACAAATAGTAAGCTCTAATGTTAGAAATCAGAAAAAGTGGAATGAGGAACTTATTCAACTTGCCAGGCATTCATACTACTGTGACAATTATGGAAAAACTTTATTATAGTCCCCTTGGCTTTGGCCAGCCCTGTTTTGCAAGGAGGAGTTGAAGGGTCAACTCATGAAGTTTGTCCCCAGAAACGAACCAAACTGACCTACTCTTTAATTTCGCCAAAAGAAGAGGAGCAGCGCCATTGTTAGCTAAGGACAAACAAATTGAGCAAGGATGAATTAAAGTTGGTGCCAGATATTCAGGGGAATATTTAATTTTCTTGTCTTCCCATGTGTGGCCCTTTTAAAAACAGTTTTCCAATGAATGGGCCGTGCACAAAGTCAAATGATTTGACCAAAACCTAAGGCAGTATGGTCAGCAAGCTGATCACTAATTAAAATTAGTTTTTTGAATGATAAGGAGTACATAGAATTAGATGGAGTGAGCAATTGCGAACAAAGAGTGATGTTAATTTTGCTCTAACTCAAATCAACTTAGGAGAGCTCCCAAACCACTCTCTCAGTCATGAAGCTATGTCCGTATTTTGTGACTTCACAATTACAAATCAATTAAATATTTGATTGCGGTCGATGCTCCAGTGTTCACCTCACACATTTGAAATGGAGTGTTTCTTCAAAATGCTGCTTATACTCTTTTACAACGATTTGGAGAGAGCACATGGGTTGAATTTTTAATTTTTTTACTTTATTTTTTTGTCGTACTTTTATAGTAGGATGCCCCACCTATCTTGTAAGGTACTTCGATAGAGGTGTATGAGAAACCTAGCCTAAATGTACAATTAAAATTGTGAGGAACTGTTGGGAACCCTTAAATGATAGGAACCTCTAAATTAGATATGCTTGGAATGGATCAATATATATATATATATATATATATATATATATATACTAAACTCGATTTGTTACTTGATTTATTTTTTATTTCAAGCAAATGAATGCACTATTGATGGTGCTGCCTTGAAATGTAACAAAAGAGTCAGTGTTCCACAGACTATATGCAGTGTTGTAAAGTGTAGATTAATTAAAACTATAGACTTATCTGAGCCTAATGACCAAAGCAAATCATTCAGGCCACCCAGAGACTTACCTGCAAGAGAACCAAGTTGAATTATTACAAAATGGTGAGAAACCCTTCACCTAATATACTTGATTTGTTAGTTGATTTATTTTTTATTTCAAGCAAATGATTTGTTACTTGATTTATTTTTTATTTCAAGCAAATGAATGCACTATTATTGATGGTGCTGCCTTGAAATGTAACAAAAGAGTCAGTGTTTCACAGACTATATGCAGTGTTGTAAAGTGTAATTAATTATAACTATAGACTTATCTGAGCCTAATGACCAAAACCAATCATTCAGGCCACCCAAAGACTTAACTGCAAGAGAAAGAGAACCAAGTTGTACTGTTTTGGACTTGGTTCCTCATCAAGTCAATTTAGTTGGAGCAACTCATAGAACTATGTGCTTATGATGTGAAATTTCATATGCCATGTGAACTTCAGTCCTAAGAACATTAGAGATTCTCCATGCCATGGATCTAAGAATGACCGTGATGTTTAAGTTGAGAAATAGTCATATGGTTATTGCAAACAGGCTAAAGATAATTGACATAAACAAAAAGGACTACCCTGATCAAAGAAATCTGTACATATGAGTATCCACGTTCCCTTTGGAAGAAACTAGTTGTTGTGCTTTCTTTTCTTTAAGCTATTGCAGTTGTTATGCTAATTGTTTGAAACTTGAAACTTATTAAGTAAGATTTTGAATGTATATAAGTGATATCATACAATGACTCATAGTTGATGGGATCATGAGCTGGAACAGTACCGGGATTGAGATCAGGATCAGGATCATGGAATGCTAGAAGGTCCCTATGGTTGGGAAAGTCGTTCGTACAATGCACATGTTAGGGATCGAGATCCCCAAATGTTAGGGATTGAGATTCCAACCTTTTGGAAATCTTGATCTTAACCTTTTTGGGATCTTGATCCCAACTTTTTGGGGATCTTGTTACCAACCTTAAAGTGTATAATAATCTAAGATTACTTTATACTAATTAAAGTAGCGATCTCATTATTGATAGCAAGCAATTAGAAGTTGTGTTGCTAGTTGGCTATAACCAAAGAAAATATCAGTTACAACTTCAAAAAAAAATATCAGTTTGGTTGTTGTCTTGGTCTTTAAGGTTGGGATCGAGATCCCTAATTGAGGAATTGGGATCCCTATCAGTAGGGTCCGAGATCCCAAAATTTAAAAATCGAAATCCTTGAGAGATCCGTTTCGGGAGCGACAAAATCGATATCCTAGAAGGGATCGCCGACCAAAGTAGGAGATCCTGATAACTATGCAATGACTTCTAAATATGATAGACAGTGAGGTCAGTAGCCTGATGACTCGGACAATTTATTTTTGCTTAGTGAGATGCTCATGCCAGGAGGGGTCGCTTTCGCTCCCGGATCTTGTTCCAGCACTACAAAACATGGGTTCTCGATTCTAGGAGATTCCTTAGTATTAAGGATCTCGATCTGGGAAATTGGAGTCTCGATGCTATGTAAGTGGGACCCAGATCCCTATACTAAAAGTTATCATTTTATGAGTAAGCGGAACTGCGATTCCACCAACTTGGAATCGAGTACCCTATGCTTTAGGTGCAAGTTTCAACGACATATTTTTTGGTTCATGTACAATGCAGTGTGGATCTCTATTTTTTCGATGACCTACAAACTTTCTAAATGTCATGATTTCATATATATGTTACAGTTTATGACTTTACACACCATGTGAATTTTGACTTGTGTCTAGTTTCAAAGAAAAACAGCAAGAGAGGGCAAGGAAAGAGGAGAAGTTGGAATGAGATACAAAGGATAGTTGAGTTGGAGTTCAATTGAGGAATGAGGTCGCAAAAAACATGCCATACTTCCATAGGGCTACTTTATTAGGTCTTGTCCCGAAGGGCTTCTATTGTTTGATTATTGGTTAACTAAATCGCTTCATACATGGGGTTGCCTTGTGGGAGACGGAATAACATGTATGCTTGGAAATGTGAGGTCTCTCTCATGTATAGGTCATTGAGCCCTAACAATCTTTGATGGAGAAAAGCTATTAGGAATTTTATCTAGCAATGTCTTGCCTTTTTTTTGGCTTTTTAGTATCACTACTCATTTGTGAAATCTTACTCCTTTGATAACAAAAGTTCCAAGAGATTTTCAATCATATGATTGTTATTTATATTTTCAATCATATGATTCTTATTTACATTGATACTTGGGTTTGTGAATTTGGTTTAAATGGAACTCACTCCAAGATTACAATATAGTTGGGAACCTCGATCCTAACACTGCGAAACACAATCCTATCCTGCAAGGGATCCGCTCCTTTGCAGATATGGAACTCGATGTCTAAAAGTCAGGGATCTTGATCCCTACATTTGCTCACGTAAAGAACACATTCCCTCAACCACACAACTTTGCGGCTTCCTCGCTCTACGCTTCCATTCCTGATTCTTGAGCGTTTTTCGCTCCTGCCCTAGGTAGCTATGATTCAAGATAATGGGTGCAATTTTCATGGTCCTGCTCGGAAATGAAAAAAGAATCAACAAGCCAGTTTGCCACAGACCATGTGTTGTCTTCCCTAAAATATAAATGAATCAGGAGGCACATACTTATCTAAGACTAATAATTGAGGCGAGTCTTTCATGTCACCTAGACTTCCCTAAGACTCTTCAGTAATCTTGTCATATTGTTTTGGACTTGGTTCCTTATTAATTCAATTTAATTCCAGCAATTCAATGATTTTTGTGCTTATGATGTTTAATTCCATGCACCATGTGATCTCCAGGCCTAAAGAATGAATCTCAAAATGACTTTGACGTTTAAGTTGAGAAATTGTCTTATGATGATTGCCGACAAGCTTGATATGATCAACATAACAAAACTTACCCCTACCTTGGTCAACAAAAATCTACATATATAAGCATTTTACATTCCCTTTGGAAGACACTAGTTGGTGTACTTTCTTTAAGTTATTGTACTTGTGGTACTTGCTTTTTGGAAGTTCTCAAACATTGATCTTGTAGGCTTTGTGAAACTAGGGGTGGGAATGGGCTTGGGTTGACCCTACTAGGTCTAAGTTGGACCCGGACCATGTTTAGGTCCAAGTCAATTGGACTCAGACCTGACCCTCTGGTTCGGGTTGGCATTGATCCCATACCTCTATCTTAGTTATGGACGACTTAATTAGGCACCTACAAGATGAGGTTTTGTGGTGCACGTTGTTCGCAGATGACATAGTTTTGATCAATGAGACCCGAAACAGCGTCAACACAAAGTTAGAACTTTGGATGGATGCTCTAGAATCTAAAGGTTTTAAAATTAGCCAAACTAAGACAGAGTATATGGAATGCAAGTTTAGTTTAATAGGAGTAGAGACTAAAAAGAGCGCATTTTGGATATGTTGGGTCGATAATCCAAAAAAATGGAGAGATTAAGGAAGATGTCGTACATAGAATTAGAGATGAGTGGGTAAAATGGAGATGGAGATGTGCAACTGGAATTATATGTGATTGCTACATCAATGAAGCTGAAAGCAAGTTCTATAGGGCAGTTGTGCTACCAGCTTTGCTCTATGGGGCGGAATGCTGGGTGGTCAAAAAACAAAAAACCATAGAATGGTGTAGCAGAGACCCTTAATAAAGTAGAATGACCCACCAGGATTCATGTAGCCGAACCCAATAATTGGTAAAAGGCTTTGACGAAAATGATGATGATGACTATATAATTAGTATTATCTATATGTATTTATACTAATGGGTGTGGTTTGTATAAGGTTGAGGCCCTAAACAATCAAAGTAAGGCATACCTCTAAATAGTGTCAAAAGATGATTTCTCAGTAGTAAAATCTTTGTGATGGCCTGAAAATTTATTTTCATCTTTCTAATTATTCAATTTAAAGCTTCAGAATTGTGTAGATCAAGCAGATCTATGAGCACTTAGAAATATTGAAAATTGACGGCCCAAATAATGCATTACAAGATGCACTACTTTCCAAAATTGAAATCCATTTTTTTTCATTTCTATACATCTCAAGGTCGAGATGATTGATTTGAGGGCTTTTCGAGATCAAAACAACCTCTTGTAGTGAATTTTTGAAGTGCACCTTAATTTGATTGTTTGGGGCCTCAACCTTATATAACTTTTGCCCACACTAATATATTCAGGTCAGGTCGGGTTGGGTTGGGTTAGTCTCTACCCGATAGAATCCAAGCTAGACCTGATTCCGGACCCGATCAGGTCAAGGTCAAGTGGACCCAGACTCCCCCATTGGATCCATCGTCTAGGTCCCGATCCAGACCCGGCCGTGTCGACCAGACCCAATTACCACCCCTATGTGAAACCATATGATGACTTCTGAAATTACAGACATCGAGGGAAGTAGGCTGATGAGCTGGGTGAGTCATATATACTTCCCGAGATGCCCTTAGTTGGGTAGGCCTTCCAATAGGTCAACTGACCTTGTCGGTTGTGTACTAACTTCCATGCAAAGCATATTACTGGAGGTATAACAAAACAAACCAATATTTGATTCTCACGGAGAGAATATTTATATAAGGAAAAATATCATGGGAAGGATAAATTCTTCATCTCTTGCTAACAGGCTTGGGAAGCAGCCTTCGCACATGAAGGTTTCTATTGTGAACAAATAGCTGCAAGGAAAAGATAGAGAAAAGCAGGAATAACATATAAACTGGATGGGTGGTTAACCTTTGTTAATTGGAGAAGAGGTAACTCATATAATAATTTGTTGATTAAGGCCACATTTATCCTTCATATTTTCAGAGAAAAGTTGTTTGAAGAGATGCAGGTGCTCAACTGGAACAGGCTGTAAATCTAACAAAGAATATGAAAGCATGCCATATTAAAATGACCGAACTCCAAAAGAAATCAAGAATATATAGGCTTATGAGATGAAACAAGACATGCATGTTCTCCTTATTAAAGGTGCATTTACAACTAATTGAACATTACGAGTAGTGACAAGGAGCATAACCAAGAAAATTACATTGAAAGAAAACCATTTAAATGCAATTGGTCAGAAAAACAAAAACGAAATCCATTTGAGTGCACAGTCTTAACATAAACATCACCTTCTTTTTTTTTTATAGATTAAATGTAAAATCCATATTAAGTGTTAATAATTCCCTGAACTCAACATCGACAGATAGGAGAGACCTCTTAACTATGTTGCACAGACACTGCATACCTACGTTGCACCTGTTCAACCTTTTTTTAAATGGTTTGTAAAGTAGTTGAATTCTAATAAAGAAATAAGTTATACATCATGTAGGTGTTGGGAGTAAAAGGACACTAGTTTGATCTTGTAACCTATCATTTCATAATCCATTTTTTCTCATTTTGCTTTTTATGTAATTTCTTCCTTTTTTTTTTTACTTTACCTTTTCTCTTTTTTTTCTTTCTTTTTTTATATGTTTATTCATTTTCTATTTGTATGTTCTGTACAATACATGCCTGATCAACTTTTCTGTTTTTTATGGTTCCAAAATGGTGGCTTTGATAAAGCAACAAGTCATACAACATGAGAATACTAGGAATAAAATGCCCGCTTTATGTTAATTGACGAAAAGCAGCAATATGCTTTCCTTTCACCATTAAAAAGAAAGAAAGAAACAGACAGAAAAAAAGAAAAAAAATTCATGTCAAAAATTAGGAACCCTGATTGAGCTATTTGTTAGCAGTCTCAAAAGGCCCAAAGAGGATATAGTATAGAATACGCAATAACTAAGCTGTACATGATGTAATGCAATTTGTTTTACTTGGAACCGTTTTTTTCTTTTTTCCTTTTTTTGCTTTGCGAAATAAATATATTATTGTTAAAAACTAAGTTGTACATGATATAACGCAATTTGTTTCTACTCAGAACTGTTTTTTTATTTTTTGTTTTTTTTGTGCTTTGCAAAGGAAATACATTTTTGTTAATATCATTATTCCTCACTTGATATCTATTGTGATCTCATCGCCTTGTGTTCATTCTTAGGAAGAGTTTCAGCTCGCTCTATTTAAGAATGGCAAGAAGGAGAATCTCTTCGCAAATCGGGTATGGTGTATCTGAATAGTCCATTTCAAGTGGCTTCTGCTTATTATTGAATTTGGTGCCATACATTAATTGTTGCTCTTCGAACATTTTGGTTTTCAAATTATGTGAAGATTGGTAGAATTCCCATCTCTAACATGTACAAAATTATTAGAAAGTAGTTAGCCATTGCTTTCTTGTGATCCACCTCTGCTTTATTTTCAGTTAGTAATCAGAATCTGAATGTTATCACACGCACATTCGCAAGCACGTAGACACACGAGCACACAGGCTTGTACACATGCACAGAGAGAGAGAGAGAGAGTGTTTTATTTCATGAAAAAGTAATTATATCGTGGCCCATGCACATTTTTTTATGTTTTTTTGTTAAAGTGGTATTGTGGCATTTCTTTGAACCTCATATTAGGCCTAGAAATTAGAAAAGACAAAAACATGTTTTATTTGAGGTGATATTACTCAATGGCCTCTGGCCACAATTTATACATGTTTGAATTATATAATGTGTATAGCTTCTGTGGCTTATGCTGTCTTTCTCAATGTCAAGTAACTTAGCATGCTATATATATATATATATATAAGAAGTATCGGTTTCCTGTCAAAAGCTTCATTTACAAAAAATTTCTCAAAAGAAAATTTCGAAAAGTTGTGGTGTGTGTGAGTATATTTCTTTACCATATGTTACTCTGCCTAAGTTGGAATTTTTTCATATTCTATGACCAGATCTTTGATTTATTTGATGTTAAGCAAAAGGGAGTCATTGATTTCGGTGACTTCGTTCGATCACTCAGCGTGTTTCACCCAAATGCACCCCAACAGGATAAGATAGATTGTAAGTTAACTTGCATGCATCTATATTGTAGATTTGTTGCTTTTATTGCATGCAGGCATCTCTGCGGTGGAGGGTGTAGTCCAGTGGGTGATCATTGTCCAAAGAAATACATGAGGGTGAGGCACAGTTGGGGGGAAGCACTAGAATGGCGCATGACCTGATGGTGGGTCTAGTATCACCATCTCCAAATTATTCATGATCATCCCTGATTTCATTTGACAGTGATGACCCAATGGACTACTGTTGTCAATCAGCTTCACAATCCATGGATTATAGTATGCTCTCTCTTTTTTATTGGTATTGGGTAATGCAAGTCTAACCATTGCTATTGCCATGAATGCTATGTATTTCACAGACATGCCTATGCTTAAACTGAATTATATTTGTATCTCAACTTCAACAGTTTCATTTAGGCTTTATGATTTGGATGGTACTGGCTTCATCGAACGGCAAGAAGTAAGTTTCACATAACCTAATAACACAATACATATATATCTCGTTGTAGCATTCTTTTTTTCTTTTCTAATTTTAATATTGTCAGCTTTCATTCGGTGTATATATCATAATATGACCTTGCTGACTCATGCTAACCCTACAGAAAAACTTCCTTTTGCCTAATTCTGATTAATCAAAAGATTAGTTCCCATTGGGTTACATTTATGCTAACCAAATAAAGATACATAGCATTCCAATAAATAAATTAATTAATAAATAAAGTTATACGACTAAAAACAAATGTAAAATAAGGTCTAACTGTGATAGATATCCTTGTAACAGTGATAGATATACCCCAAGAAACACTACAATCATATCTACACTTTGGCAGGTGAAGCAAATGCTAATTGCACTTCTATGTGAGTCTGAGATGAGGTTATCTGATGAGACCATTGAAACAATAATGGACAAGGTAATTCTTTTTTTTGAAAGTATTATCTATCAGAGGTTATTGGATGTTGCCTTCTGGTTCTTCGTTCTTCCCATGGGGTGTTTATATATGCATCCTCATCATATGTTTCTTTTTTGTGTTTTAAGCAGACATTTTCAGAAGCTGACGTGAACCAGGATGGCAAGATTGACAAATCCGAATGGCAGAATTTTGTTTCACGTAACCCATCATTAATGAAGATAATGACTCTTCCATATCTTAGGTAGGTACCTTGTGTAGTAATAAAAATGATACAATAACCATTGCTCTCTCTCTCTCTCTCTCTCTCTCTCTCTCTCTCTCTCTTCTCTCTCTCTC